CCAAGTCAAAATTTATTCACTGGCGATCTCGTGGTATCGAAAGGATACCGAGATCGTGCCAGGATACAAGCTTGGTTACAGAAGGTAACCGAATTCGCGCGAAGTTACAATCGAAGTGTAAGAACAAGAATGGAAGAACGATATAACTGTCATTGGTACAGTCAAACAAAAGCACATTAAAACAAACACTGGTACAACTGTTTATAATAATAATTGTTCTTATTAAACCAGTCGTGTTCTCGTGATAAATGTGAGTCACTACATTAACATAGATAAGTGTAACTGACTGATACATTCTGTTAACAGATTTATTATAGAAGCTCAGTGAATGAGAACAAACAAGTAGGACAAGAAAATGTATTTGAATACATAATTACATAATACTTTGGACAAATCTAAGAATCATAAATTCAATACATCATTTGCAAGATATCAATCAATTGTCTCAGACTCTATTATTCTCTCTGTGGAAATGAAGAAGAGGAAGAAATTAATCCATTTGTTATCCATCTAAACTAATTAATTATAATTTATGTTTACTCGTATTTCAATAGACTCATAAGAAGTATCAAGTTTTTGTGATTATTTTATTGGATAATCTATTTTGTCTATTTTTCTCTTCATTCTTATTGGTTACATTTATTATACAGATTAGAATGATTTAATTGTCATACTGATTAACTCTATTTAACAATAAACCACTTTTATTCGTTCATAAAAATTAAGAAAAACAAACAAAGCTCGATAAATCCCAAACATAAATAACCTTTATATTTGTATATTTGATTTCATTAAATGAATTCAATAAGAAAGCAAATAATTAGTTGGATTTTCTTATGAAATTCATTCTAAAATATCATAGAGTATTTTAAGTTCATCTATACAGATTGACCAAGATGAGATTAAAATGGTATATCGACTTTCTATGTATATACAGTGAATGGATTATGTAATATGTATCATCTTATATGAGAAACCATTTTATCATCATAAACAAAATAAAAGATCTAGAAAGATGTGAAAAATATTGGGTTAGAGTGGCAGAGTGAACATCAACTCTCTGAGATGCAGGTACATCCAGCTGATGAGTCCCAAATAGGACGAAACGCGCGTCCTGGATTCCACTGCTAGCCGCTATCCATCATTGCTAATAATGCCTGTGAATTAAGGCAATATCGAGGCAGTACACACAGTATGGACATATGCCAATAATAGACTGATCAGTTGCAGTCTTAAATCTCAATGGAAAGATACAAGCCAAACAATACCAAGTGAATTGTTTGAATTAGTTTCTTTTGATTAAACTAAAATTGTTTTAATAGGTGTCATTCAACATCAAAAGGAAAATGTTTTAAAACATGAAAATGTCATTAAAACATTGTAACCAAGGTAATGTTATCAATCAGAAAATATGGATTACTAATTTTTAAATCAGTGATTAATGAATATCGTACTCATGTTTAGCTATAAAGATTTTTTATTCTATTCTGTGAAGTATCGTGTATGAGTACTACAGAAGAATCTTATCCTGTTATGAAACAGCTTTTTACGTAATCAAGAAATAGTCAGTACTAGTCATTATTAATCACAGTTTCCATTACTTAACTAAATAGTTGGAATACTTGTCGAATGTAGTGTTATAATTAGCCTTATGAGAATTGTTTCAACTGTTCACAATGATAAAATGTAAAATCCACATCTGTAGTTAAAATATTATTAAGTTGATAGAATATTTTGATGAGGTTGAGTATTTAACAAACTACAGATTTTGATTTAAAAGACATGAATTATGTACATTAAAGCTAAATAAATTATGGGATAAATGATATGTGAAGTGCAATGAATGTGTGGCGTTGGAATATTATTATGGATTTGGAATAAACACGAGGAACATTTTTCTAATATATATTATAATTTCATTCTCAGAAATTCATATTTTTTTCCAATTTTTTGTAAAGTAACTTCAGTTATCTTACTGAATCATTTAATCACTCGTTTCAAACTTCATTTCAGACCTCAAAAATGGAACAAAAACCTATAATTAGGCGTTAGTGCGGGCATTATTTATCAAAATTTTATTTCAGTCTAACCTAAACTAAGGAAAAGCCAGTATGTATGCACTAGTGAATGTATGAAGCTTCAAATGTCAAGTGTCGTCTACCTCATACATATTCGTCGAGCTTAGAGACTAGATAAATATCATCACGGGTATATATATATATATATATATATATATATATATATATATATATATATATATATAATTGTTGACAATTTGTTTTATCTATAATCGAGAGAGAGAATATCTACAAAATGATCAACACTGTACACAGTGGGATTACTAGTTTCCAAAACAAAAAAATGATAACGGATAACAAGCAGTGGACGATTGAAAATTTACTACAGTACGAGAACGTCAAAGTTAAATTAAGGAACTGACTACGAAATATCCATAAACTTTATGGATAAATGTCTTACTAACTAACTAACTAACTTGTTACAACACAGAATTTAATAAAATCAAATAAAACGAGATTGTTTTGTACATACAGTGACAAATAGTTATAATCCTGTTTCTCATATAACATAGTATAAATGTTGTGTACAAATCGACTAATGTTCGACACATAAAATGGGTCAGATAGCTAAAACGATTTCATTCACAGAACAATATTTATCTTTGTTTAAAACTTAGTAATTAATAATCGGTTGCATAACCATGGATATGTTCTCAAATAAGATTACGTAGGATTATTGAAGGAAGAAAACTACAAGCTTGAAGAATAATTTTCAAATGTGAAATTTGAATTTAGGACTGATGAACAAATAGATTATGGTAGATCATCTTAATTCAGAAGTCGCAGAAAGAGAATCTACGAAAAAAAATTTTAAGTTGAATAACAAAATATTTCCACTTAACATGAAGTAATTGTTAATTGGAAGACGTTAAATTAATATTAAATAAAGAAGATTCATTGTCCGACTATCGTGGTGACTTTTCGAATGCTGATTTGTAGAAAGGCAAACTAACTAAGCCGCTTATCATAAAATAACAATTTTTAATGTAGTTTCAAACATGATAATTAACATCCAGAATCACTTAAGCAATTGATATGTGATGATTAAGAAAGAAATAAGAAGAATCGAGCAGATGTAATGCTGTTTTTATTATATTGACCAGATTTTTCACTTTTTAGTACACTATAAAACATAGGCACATTTACCTATACATGCTTCCGTCGTACTTCCCGAGTTAACAGATATGAGAGTGACGTAAATTTAGATTATATATAGAGTAAAAATAAGTTATTTCATTGACAGAAACTAAATCAAGTGGTTTTCGTTAAAAATTACAAATTTGTTAAAATCAATGACTTCGTGGATATAATTTAGTAAAGAGATTTTCTCCTAAGTTTGATTGATTTCTCTCTCATTGACTAACTCTACGTGAAAACTGCATTTATTACCTATACGTGTGCTGTGGGTTACTTATATCCACATAAGTAGTATGTAACGGTGGTTGGGCATCGAATGTATTTCAGTAGAAGGTCGGTTAGAAAAGAAGGGAAACGGAACGCAATTGGTATGAAAACGCATGAACAATGAAATCTGAGCCAATGGATTGATTTTTGCAACAGGAACAGTCAAGTTTGAGATGATGGATTGAGATTTTGCAGATTAATGATTCACTATATGGTTCTCAGGTTTTATTGAGATGCTCTGTGATTTCGTGTCAAATACATTCGATTGTCCCCACTGGTGTTCTGTTCATTACATGCGTACTCCGAAAACATTTTGAACTTTAACGACTCTTAAACAAAAAGAATTCGGAAATATTCCCTAGATATTTAGAGTCTATTGACATATTTTGGAAGTGATTGCCATTAGGGAATTGAGTAGTTTAATCCTTTGAAAATTTCACTTAACTAGATTGGTAAATAATCTGTGGTAAATTATCAAACAGTGAATATATCTGATTAGATAGGAAAGCCCGAACTGATTTTCATGAACTTATTTGTGGTATCACGGGCACCGTCCAATTATTTCTCAGGATTTAAATGTACGTAGCAAAAGTAATAACCAATGGGGATATAAAGAATTGACAACTGAAATCCTTTAATTTTTGCAGCCATATGAAATAATTAAACTGCATGCAGAAGAGGTATGTAAGGTAATGAGTCTGAAACGTTATTTCAACTGAAATCACTCGATCGTGTTATGTATGCATCACTGCAATTGTCCTTTTAAAAAATAATACAATCTTCTACCGACTTATTTCATGGAGTTCAGATAGTGAGCTCTTATTTTATCCGTTCATAAATAGTTCTAATCTATTATTATTTCAATGAATATCATTTATCGATTTCATATGGAAGTCTCTCGCCTGAAAAAATATCTAGGAGACGAAACACACGAAGTACCACAGTAAATCTCAAGTAATATGTATTAAATACATAATAATTAGTTAATATGAACAAATAAGTCCTACAGAATGTCAATGGTAGCTTGAGTAGTCAATGATAACGACTCTGAGCGTTCGTAACTCAAAAAAAGACAAACTCCTTCAAAAATGAAGATTGGTGAATAGTACAAACTAGTAAGAAAGCTAGATATTTGTTCCAAAATTTTACAATCATCTTTTATAGAGTAAACATAATTTACATGAACACCACTTAAACTATTACTATTATTCTAACAGTTAAGATCATGAGTCAATTAAAGTTAGACAACCATAGAAAACCTGCAAGCACTAGATGGCCGTTTCATCCTACTGTGAGACTCTTCAGCCGGCTAAATGGTTTGGAGATTAAGCGCTCTCGCGCGAGACCGATAGATTCTGGGTTCGAACTTCGCGAGGTGGGATCGTGGATACGAACCGCTAAGGAGTCTGAAATATTGATATTATTATAATATCCACAAAACTCCTTCGGATTTTATTACTATTATTATTGTTATCATTGATAATAATAATAATATTCTTATTAAAAAAAACAACAAACACTTGTAGAAAATAATCAATTAAAATAAACAAACACATTTAAAAAAAAGAAGGAAAACACACATAATAAGCAAGGGAATTAAGAATAATATGAAACAAACTTCATATGTATTTAATTCTCATTAATAATTAAACATTCATCGGTTGAATATCATTGATTATTATGTAAACTATATGAAAATATCATCATTAATAACAACAGAATAAAACCAAAACCAATCAAATCATGAAACTTTAAACTTGTGTAAATAAAAAAAATTATAATTAAGAATTATTATTGATTAATTGTTTATTAGTAATAGAACAAAACAAAAAAAAACAGTAAAAATAAACATTTATATGTTGAATATAAAACTATGTATATCAAGCATATTCAAAGAAACGTTTTATGTGTATTCGTCTGTTACTATAATGTTGACTATTTAATTCATAGAAATATAATAAAATGAATTCAAGCATTAAGCACTACAATTTGATAGATCACAATAAAAAAAGCGGGAATATAATATTTAAAAAAAATCAATATCATTAAACTATTCTCCATCTTCTTTTTTGTTTTTTTTTAAACATTGAAACATTGAACGTTATTCAAACAATAAAAATGTAGCGTATATATTTTCAAATGATGAACAATTTTTTTTCTTCTTTTGATTATCTTATAGGAAATAATATTTATATGATAAATGATGAAAAGCTATGGAATGATTTAACAGAGAAAAAAAAAGCAACTAACTGATGTTTAGTTTGCTTTATTTACTTTTACTTTTCCAATTGGATGGTTATTTAAAAAGAGAAAAACAAACAAATAAACAAGACAGACAACACAAGTACAAAAAAGACAACATGAATAACAATAGATTTAAATGTAAAAACATAAAACTTGATGTAAATAATAAGATATTACATAAGTTAGTAGTGATAAGGAGGATTATTATTATTATGATATTGATTATTCTGGAACATAAATAGAGATATTTTATTCATGAGAAAACTGTCTTTTGAAAATGTTTATTCAAATAACTATACATTGTGTAATGATCATCTTTCCTATATTTATGTATTAATATTGTTTGTAAATTTGAAAGTAAATAGATGAAGGATAATGAAAATATGATTAAAATCATAATGAATCATATTTTATAAAATTATAGAATTATTTTTATGAAATGTATATTTTATTGTTGTAATGCAACACCTTCTTCACCAATATCAGATGTTTCATAATATCTAGCCTCTTGCATTCGAGCATAATTCATAGCAGTACAAATAATTATTTGTATCTGAAATGATAAAAAATATAAGTAGAAACATATTACTGACAAAAATACTGAAAATCTAATTTAATATACGATACTAGTGTAGTGAACAAGAACACGGGTGGGGACAAGCAGATGTATTTAGAACAGCAATTACAGTCTATCTCAACAAAATCTGAATACCATATAGTCAATCGTCAATTTGCAAAATATTCATGCATCAAACCAAACTGAACTGTTTCTGTTGCAAACAACAATCCATTGTCTCCGATTCCATTGTTCATGCATTTTCTTACAAATCCCAATGTGTTCTCGCTCTTCCTTTCTTGGTCTTCCCTATCTTCTGCTGCCAGACATTACGTTCTTTTAACGCACGTTATACACTACTTATATCAATATAAGTAGCTCACACCACACTAGTAAATGTACAATAGTATCATCAGATTGTATTAACCGACGATATTTTTCTATGATTTAATAACTAAAACGATCTTCATATAACCAAATTACTTTAAATTTAACTGGATGATAAAAGACCTCAACATTGAAAAAATGGATTGTTATAAGGCAACACAGATTATAGCATTTTGTAAAAATTTGCTTAAAGCCGTTTAATCAAGTCAAATTATTTTCTTGTTAAAATCATATGCACCATCCAACACTTCTTGTATTTTGACGATTACTTGTTATTAGTTAATCTTCACAGTTGACACTGTAATTACAGATAATATTCGATGTAATGTAGCAAATAAAGACTGATGATTTAAAAGTCCATAATGTTTTTATTCCGCTCGGTAAGCAATTTTGTTATTCATTGAATTAAAAGTAACACCATGATAAACAAGCCTGTTTTAACAATACACTCATCGTGTTTTTCTATTATAAGGTTTAATCTTAGAAACCAAGCCATTTGTCCTTTTTTCAATATATTTTTGTTATTTAAAGTTAAGTAATGCTGATAACAATTTTTTAAAATATATTTGACAAATAAAATTATTTTCAACAGTTGAGATCATGAGTCGATTAAAACTAGACCACCATGGAAAATCTGGAAGCACTGGCCGGCTGTTTCGTCCTAGCAAGAAATTCCTCAATAGTTCTCATCCACGATCCCGCGTCGCGACGTTCGAACCCAGGACCTATCTGTCTCGTGAGCAAACGCTTAATCTCGACCACTGAGTCGGCATTATTTTCATTTATTTTTTTCTTCAGTAGATGTAACATATCAATTGAAGTTACGACTAATCAGCTGTTAAATACCGAACGAAGATACTTTCGGACCCGTTCATTATTGTCATCATCAGTTGTTTAGTGATAATTCATCTGTTTATTTTAATCGACGACGTCTGAAAACGATTATCCTTCTTTACTACTGTGACATGGTGGATAAAAGGAAAATTAGTTGCTAAGCTCATTCACTTGTAATCAATATAGAGATTAAATAATTTATCGAATAATTAAAGATTTTCATGATTGAAGTCGAAACTATTGTAGGACAAATCGTTAGGTTTTATACAATCATGAATAATTCATTTTTAGAAAGAGATGAAAAAATGGATAAGTACGAAACCTGGGTATCTATTGTTTAATGAAATAGTTTGCCATTTTTCACTAAGTATTTACTGAACAAACAATTAATTGTAATCTGTTATTTACTTTTCCTTCTCCTGTCTACAAATTAAAGTCAATTATCCACAACTGATTACTCAGTTTGCAGTAAGAATATACCGATTGAGATTTATTATTTGAGACGTGTCTGGAACTTGTATTTTGCTCAATATAATCAGGTGAATTAGAAGATTAAGCAATGAACGGTACTTGTGACCATCTATCTAACTTTCTGACTTTCTGTTTAAATGTTTAGAAGTGTAGAGATGTGCGTGATCTATTGATAGTGTGATAAATACAGTTACAAGTTAAGTGAATTTATCGTTACTGTCACAGACAAAATCACCTTTATGTTTATAAATAAATTATATTTCAATAAAAACTATTCACATGATTAACAGTCTTTCATTTAACTGAATAAAGAAGTTTCCTCAATAAAATGAATTTTCTCACCAGACGATTGTCTTACAAATAAATAATATCTTGTAAGATCCGACAAAGTCTAACTTATTTTACTACTTATACATAGTAAGTAGCAAAATATCTTACAGATTTATTTAAACGGCACCTAATTTTTCTGAAATAGAAAATACAAAATAACATTTCATCATTTCACAGATTGAAATCATGAGTCAACTGAAGCTGGACCACCATGGAAAATCTGGAAGCACTGGGCGGCGGGGTGTGGTATCGTGGATGCGCACTGCTGAGGAGTCCCATACTTGGATGAAACGGCCGTCCAGTGCTTCCAGGTTTTCCATGGTGGTCTAGCTTCATTTGACTCATGATTTCAATCTGTGAAATTTCTAAAATCTCTAAAAACCCCTTCTGATTTCATCATTTCACTAAGAAGTTGAATTTGATTTTTGCTCATATACTTACATAACCGAACAATAATAGGAATATACCAGCGATAGCGAGAATTACACAGACTAAAATATCATATATTCTTTCAGAGAAATTAGCTCGTGCAATATGTATCGGTAAACCATTGGCATCGTATAGACCTAGTTGAAAAACAAAAGACAAAGCGAAAATCACAATAATGAAGCATATACACAGATATATTATATACCATGTTATTTAAAAACTCTTCAGTAAACTTCTAAAATATTCTATATTAGTTTTGACTGTTTGTTTAAAATTATGTATCGATAACAATTTATTATTATTATTATCTGCTTTATTCAATATTATATTTTTGGTACAATATAGAATTCTCAGCGCAAAGTATTTCAACAAGTTTCCGTTTGTTTCTTCTTGGTCGATCCTGGCGATAAATATTGAGTGATCGCCAGTTAGATGTTAGCAATTCAGTAAATGAGCATCTGAATAATGCGCATTCTTTTTGTTGTATATTGCCAGCAACCACATTGTCTCTTATTGAGTTTTTTGTAACATTGACAACGAAAGGTTGTACACTTTTCAGAAACGCAGCAGAATAGGTTATGCGATTAATAAACATAATGATATATTAAAACAAACAAAAATAGATAACTTGTTGAAATATCTAGATGGCAAGAACATGTAACCCAGATGTTCAGGTAGGCCGCTCTTTATGAAGATGCATTGAACAAATTAATTTTCTTGATCTAAAGAAAGTAAATCGTATGGCAATTCACGGTTAAACAAAGTGGATATTAAAAGATCCCTTATTCTAAACTATTAAAATGTCTTTTTGCGGGTAAAACAAATTCTGATTGGTGGAAATTCATGGGTATGAAAGAAAATAGAACAAATGCAAATAGCTAATATAGAGAATATGTAATAATGAGTAGAATGACATGACTAAGTAATAAAAACACTAAAAATATACTTAAGGAAACAAAAAATGTTGATGATGGCCAATTTTCAACACTGAATATAGATGATTTATAAAGATTTGTATAGTTTCACTACAAAGTCAACGCTACATAGAGTTTGTATGCTCACTGTGAAGAATTTCAAAATGAATTCAAGACAGGTTATCAGTAGTCTATAGTCTTTAAAAGTTTTTCAGTTTATATTTGAAATAGTTTTTCTTACAGTAAATTTATCTGAATATTTGGGAGTTTTTTGTCTTAAATGTAAAGTAACTGATAACCTCAAATTATAGTTGGACTAAAATATTACTAAGCCATTTTTTTGTATAATTCTAGTTTAATTATTGAGTTTCATTTGAAACTTTCTTTTTTTTCTAAAATCTAATAGGGATTACTGTTCATCTAAAAGTGTGCAATCTCCATTTGTTTTGTTTTATGTAGAAATGAATTATAATTTCTCTTATTATGTAATGCTTTTCATACACCAATTTATCATGATACACATCATTATTCATAACTATTCAGATAATATTGATAGAAAGAATAAACCTTTTAAATATTTACTCATTTGTCTGAAAACATTACTTGACGAAAATACAGATTTGTTTAGTGATAAAATAACCTTCTCCTAATCACTGTTTATAAGTTATGTGTGAAATTAAGTTATTGAAATTGTCACAGATTGAAATCATGAGTCAGTTGAAGCTAGACCACCATCGAAAACCTGGAAGAACTGGTCGGCCGTTTCGTCCCAGTATGGGACTCCTCAGAAGTGAGCATCCACGATCCCGCACCACGCGGGGCTCGAACCCAGGACCTACTGGCTTCACGCACGAGCACTTAGCCATCAGACCATTGAGCCGGCGTCCAACGGTGTTAATGTCTAACTCTAACCAATCCACGAAGTTGCGCCACCACATACCATTGTCTTCAGTGAGCTGATATCTCACAACAGACCTGGTTGAACTCCACTGGTAACGGCTTGCCACTAGAACTCCAGGAGTATCTCTTGAAGTCAGTCACTAGTGAGCAGAAATTGTGACAAGGTATCCATAATTCTATGAAAAATTTATTAAAAGCCGTAAAGTATCTTAAATTAATTTTGATTAGTCTCTAATTGCTTAAGTACCAAATTAATTCGGAATCTTAGTAATTTTCTATAGGTTTATAAACAATGTAAGCTTACTCATAACTTCATAAATACTCTTTATTTTGTAAAATTAAACAAACTCAATTAGTAAAGATTCTTTCATATTTTCACCTTCTAAGTTTAATCAGAGTTTGAAAGTTCAAGATTGTGACAATCTGGGAAGTGGTTAAAAAGTTAACGTTTCAAGATTTCAGGGAACAAAACTTATCAAAGAAAAATACTATATGACTTGGATAAACTTATAATATAAACAAAGATGGCTAGTAGCTAGCAGTGGAACCTAGGATGCACGTTTCTTCTTATCTGGGACTCGTCAGCTGGATGTATCTGCATCTCAAAGTCAATGTTCACTCCGAGACTCAAACCCAGTACCATTCGCTTCAAACCCTATCGCGTTACCCACTCAACTATTGAGTCCTGACAGCCACTTGCTTGTGCAATGGGGTGACTTTCAATTCAATTCGTATTGTTTGCTTCAATCTTCCCATTGTGTTTTAAAACTGCGATTGATCAGTTTATTATTGGCATATGTCCATACTGTGTGTACTGCCTTGATATTGCCTTAATTCACAAGCTTGATAGCGAATGGTACTGGGTTCGAGTCCCAGGATGAACTCTGAGGTGCATGTACATTCAGCTGACGAATTCCAAATAGAATAAAACGCGCTTCCTGGATCCCACTGCTGCCCACTATTCATCATTGCTAATAATCCTTGTGAATTAAGGCAATATTGAGGCAATGGCACAAGATGTACATATGCCAATAACAAACTGATCAATTGTAGTCTTAAACGTCAATGGGAAGATTCAAGCAAACAATATCAAGTGAATTTATAATATAAACAGTTTCATTTCAACAATTCACAGTATCCTAGTAACTTAGCATTCAAGTAAATACATTTAAACTGTTCTATGAAAAAGAAAAAGTGAAATTTTTCTTTGTATTTATTGTCAATTGGCACGAATTTTCTAAGTTTTCTTTTTTTTTAAAAACAAAGTTAATTCAATCGAATATTTCTTGAATTTGTCTTTTGTATACACAATTACATACAGATAGATAATTATATAAATAGTAAAAGTCTTTCATCTTCATTTTAACAACTAAAAAAATGTACTATTATTTCAAAATTAACATTCTTCCTTTTATTATTATTATTTTATTCACCAAGGTAAATATACACTTTTTTTGTTTTTTAATACAAACAAACAAACAAACATATGAGAAGAAAAGGAATTAAATTATTCTTCCTGTTTTTTCCCCTTCTCTTTCAAATGGTTTATTTTAAAGGATTAAAATACTGTGAATAAATATAATTAGTTCATTATTGAAATATCATTGGAATACATTTTTACTTCTTAAGATCGTTTTATATTGTCTATACTTAAAAAAAAAACAAAGAACTTTTATACTTGAAGAATGTTAACATTCTTAATTGAAATGTAAACACGATTATTATTATTATTGTGATTATTATCATCATCAATTTCATAGTGTAAACAAATCGATAGTAAGGATTTATTAATCAAAGAACTTCATTTTGTACATGTACATTAGAAGGGGAAAAGATATTCTAATACAATCAAGAAATCAAATAATAATAACACTCGTTAGTACCGTGATAATTAAGTAGTTATTATAAGATTCTGAAAGTATATAAATTAGTTGTTTGGTAGTTTGATTCTTATTGGTAAATGAATTATATATATATATATATATATATATATATATATATATATATATATATATATATATATATATATATATATATATATATATATATATATATATATATATAAATCACATTTAGATGGTTAGTTCTCTTACGATTGAAAGAAAATAGTTTTCTTATGACTACCGGCCCTTGTGGTCTGGTGTGTGACGAAATCTCAGCACGGATACAAAAGGCTCGACTAGCTTTTGCCAACTTGCGTCATTTATGGCGTAGGCTAAATATCCGTTTATCAACCAAAGGACGGGTTTACTGCGCAGCAGTTCGTCCCGTCCTACTTTATGGCAGTTAAACATGGCCGGTAAGAGTAGAAGATATTCGTAGGTTACTAGTGTTCGATCATAGGTGTCGTCGAAACATTGCTCGTATATGCTGGGGCCATCGAGTAAGTAATGCAGTTGTTAGGAAACGGGTACTACGTAAGGATGGCAAATCAATTGATGACGTGGTGAAACGTCATCAGTTGAGATGGCTGGGAGACTTGTTACGTATGCCCAACGACCGACTGCCCAGACGTGCGATGTTTTATGGTGCAGGAGTAGGTTGGAAGAAAGCTAGGGGCAGCCAGATCAAAACATGGCACAAATCTATGAAGTCACTGATAAGTGGACTGAGTCATGTTGGTAGGTGTAGACTACCTGGATGGGATTTGTGAGATGATTGCAGCCGAAGGTTGGAGACCTTGAATAGCATGCCTCAAAATCATTTGCAATGGCGTAGGTGTGTCCACTCTTTATGTTCTTTCAAATTCTAATCTTCTGAATTATTCATGTTTTTTTGTTCTGTTTCCAAATTTATTTCACTGTATTATACTTCTTGAATAACATCTTCAAGGTCTAATCTTTCCGATTACTGTTTATACTCTTACTACCTCTACCACTATGGGATTTGAATCGACAATTGTGTTTCTGTGCTAATGTGATATGGCAACTCGAACTGATGTACGTACTTACGAAGTTCTACTTCGTTTGATGATTGACTGGCTGACCGGCTATTACAAAACCTACTATTACAAACTCTTATTAGTTATCTTTGACATTCTCATCTAAAGAATTCTTAAGTTTAATAAGATCAAAGTATACTTCATTATAAAACGCCTAAATATTTAAACGGTGTCTTTGTAATAGGTATTTCATTTGAGAAAATTTCTCTTTCACTAATTCAAATGGGATTTGGAACCTCACATAGAACTAACTGGAATAACATAGTTGTTTTATGGTAGTTTAGGAATCTTGAACAACGCACAACCATTATCTAATATATACAGTCGAATTCAGGATCTATTGATCTAGAAGCGTATACGATGGGCTTGGATCGTTGAGTCAGCATTCTGTTATTCACTGTACTAACTTTAGATAATGCGAAATATCACACAATTCTCAAATATATAATCAGCGAATCAGTTTCGCTACCAGTTTGATTGATTCTTATAAGAACTTCAGGAAATTCATGAAAATGCTCATCGCTAATAAAAATACGATTTAAAATCAGATAAGTGGTTTTTTGGGTGTTTGTTAGTTTTCTTGAACAAAAATGGGAGGGCCACTTTGTGCTCCAATTTATTTCAAGTTGATGCCATTGAATGACTGAAAAGATTTTAATAATAGAACGTTGATAAATACAAGTTATATATATGTACTGTTTATCAAATGCTTCATTTCTGTGAAATTATTCCATTAAGTTTAAATAAAAATTTAAAAAATGAATAAAATACTCTGATTGCATTTTTAATATGAGAATAAATAGGATTAGATTTTCTTACCGTAATAAGATAAATCAAATGTCTCTTGACTACATTGATGAAACAATTTGATAGATTCTGGAATACTAAGAGCATCATTCATTACTTGTTTTATAATTTTTTTTGATAAAGGTTTTAAAGACAATTTCGATGGTATTGACGATGATGACGATGATGGTAAATTTTCATCAACAAATGAACTTATCACCGGTGGTGGCTGATCGACCATTTTTGGACTCGTGACCGTAGCTGTTAGATCTCTACTTAAATTAGATGGATCTGTTTGAAGGTTATCTTGAATATCATCCGGTATAGCAATAGTACTTTCAACTGTATCGAAATCACTAGGATGATCAGGAAACCATTCTTCTGTATCACGTCGTTTTATTAGTTTCCCATTAAGATTGAACATTTCACGTGTATAACTACTGCTTGGATTAAGAAAATTCACTTGACCATCATGGTAAGCTGAAGTCATTTGTCCGACAGAGGCTAGTCGTAAACGACTAGGTCCTTCATTTCGGTATAACAACAGTGCAATACTGACGACTGGGTAACTAACTAGGCATGCAATAGCTGACCATAATATGACAGCCGTTACTAAAAGTATGATAAGCTAAAAGATGAGAGAGATAAATAGAAAAACTTATAGATAGTGAAATCAAATGCAAATAACTGGTCGTAATAATAATGTTAAATATAAACACGCACTATTACAATAACATCTTGAAAATATTAGGCAAAGATATGCAACCGGTTCTATTGTTTAATACAATCATTTCTGTTTACAATATTAGATACATTTTGAATTATTGGGTGATGTAACAATGTTAAATATATAGACATGATTTCTAAGTTAATCGATAAGTGTTGACCAAAAAGTTTTTGTTTAGAAGATGACTCGTCTACAATTTGATATCAGTTTTTGTTGACATACAATTTATCTAACATTTTGGTTAATACAAGTGAAAAATAAATAAGTAAATAAATACAAAGCAGAAATAAATTTAATTCATTTTCGCATTGGCTGTGCTGAATCTCTTCATTGATATTTAGAACTGCAGTTGATCGGTCTCCTATTGGCATATGCGCATACTTTGCGGATTGCCTCGATGCTGTCTTAATTCATAAGCATTACAAGCAAAGATGCATGGTGGCTATTTGAACAAACAATGCAAAAGTGGATTAAACTTTACCACATTGCTATCTGGACTCAGTAGCTAAGTAGATAAAATGATGGCGTTTGAAGTGAACGACACTGGGTTCGAGTCCCGGAGTGAACATCAACTCTGTGATGCAGATACATTCAGCAGATGAGTCCCACAAAGAACGAAACGTACGTCCTGGATTCCACTGCTAGCCACTATCATCTCTGTTTAGAAAGAAATTTACTTTCATATATATAAAGATTAATCAGTATGTGTCACCTTGAAATAAAGTATTAAGTAAAGTATATGGGATTCTAGTACTAAAAGTCATAAAATACAGTTTGAGAAGTTCGATTCAATCTAGTTTAAAAGCTTCATGAATCGAGTATAAAAATTTACTGATTTTGGCCCAAAGTTTGAGAAGAAAAATAACGTTACAACGTGTCACAAATATTTTTTTTCCAATATCTATTCTCTATTTGAACAATATTACCAAAATATATATTGATAACAGATTCTACGACATTAATTCCTTTAAATAGGTTAAAATGAACTGATTGATGAACACGAGAAGAGTTAGTCAATTTGCATTGTGATTGACTGACTAATTTAAAATGATAATTCTTATTTTAATGAAATGCAAATAGGATAAAGATAATAACAACAGAATAAAAAATGTTACATTTATTAGAAAAGTAGTTCTTTAGAGGGAAGCAACGGATTAGGCAAATAATGAAATGAAACAAAGAAAAACAGAAAAAAGGAGTAGGAGTTGGTGAAATCAAATTTTGACACAATAATAATTGTAAACAATTATTAGTTTATATTGATAATCCGAGTTCACTTCCTCTATCCACTGGGCATAGAGAACATAAAACGGAGAGAGGAATAAAAAAAGGAAAAGAAAGACAAAGTTTTCTCTCCCTTATTTTCCAGAAATGATAAAAATAATCAAATATTGGACAGCAACATATTAATCCATACAATAATATATATATAAAGTTCTGGTAGCTCAAAAATCGAGTGTTTTATTAAGTATGATGACTGTATAACTCTCATTTTGGTTCAGAGTTACTGTGATCTAATCATGATCCTATTTATAATATGAATATTGAATGAAAAAATCAGTCACACAGTAATAGTTCATCTGTCTACAAATTTAAGTCGTAGATTAATATCACTTGATAAACTATAGAGAACCATGGCAAAGTGAATTGTTGTTTACCCTAGCATAGTAAATCCCAGGATTAAGGAACATATTACACATCTAGAACCAAGGCCATAACCTTTAAACAATTAGGTTTGAACTTGATATTGTTAGCTCAATAGTTGATGTCAATCAATAATAAGGAGTCCCATACTAGGACGAAACCGTCGTCTAGTGCTTCCAGGTTTTCCATGGTGGTCTAGCTTCAATTGACTCATGATTTCAATTAGTGCAATAATGAAATCGTCTATAAATTAAACCTATCACTACAAACTTATGAATCAAAATAGATTTTATATTCAAACTTAGACACAATAAACCATTTGTGAAATGTCTCAATTATTTATATAACGTATCTACATAGATAACTAGAAATATTACGTAAACATCAATAAAAGGTTATCTAGTCATTAAGGCAGTCATACAATAAAGTCGGTCATATATGTTAACATTGTACACCAGTCTTATTAATACACGATATAATGATTTAGTCATTTCAAGATGTTCAGTCTCTGTTGAACTATTTATTAACTTATATTTTCTATAACATCTTTTTTATGTAGAATAAGTCACTTGTTGACTTTTTTTACAATTTGGTTTGTTTTCTCCTTGTTCTGCTTTTCCTGTATGCATTGTGTTTGCTTCTTCTTCTTCTCCTTCTTCTTCTCCTTCTTCTTCATTTTCGCTTGACTAAGTTTTTGATGTTCTACTTCAAAACTAATTTTTATCTTATCTCTGTTACTGTTTGTTCTGCTTTCTTATTATGGACACTTTTAATATATTGAACAAAAATTAAAACAGTTTATCCTCTGCTATGAAATCTGAATCATTTTTATTTGAGAAGAAAACACTTTAAGAACATTTAATAAAGAAGTGAAATACAACGGAAACAATGAATAATGACTGAGTGTTTGTTGTTCTGGGTTGTTTTTGTTTTTTTTGTAAATGCATTTAGAAAATTACCTCTGTCATATATGGGTATATTTTCCCCATCAATAATAAAGTAAAAAGAAGTGTTAAGCCTTTCTTCTTTATTTTGATGCATAGATAAATTTTTATTGTATTCCAATACTTCCAAAAGAAAACAACACAACAATAACAAATTGATTTCTGATTATTTTGTTTAATACTATAAAGGGTAAAACACTAAACGATGATTCATATTTGCATGTGTTTAGTAATTAAAATGGGTATGTCATTCTAATATCCGTAGTAAATAAACAAAATAGAAATAAATAATGGTAATAGTAATAATAATGAATTCTAAAACACTTTAGTGTTATATATATAGAGATGAAAATCAAGATAAAGGTGAATAAACTTAATAGTATTAAGCAATTAGTTTAAAAACAGATACAAAATAGAAATGTTGATGTAGTTCTCAATTAAGGGATGTACATTAATATAACTGATGTCGTTTTGCGGACAAATTTGTTAATTACGGATTACGGTGATGATGATCATAATATTCATTAAAAGCCTAGTAGATGGTAAATGTGCAGTTATTCTGTCATTCTTTAATGTACATGAAAAACAATATGTTCTACATTGATTTCTGGAATTAACAAATAAGATACAGATTGAATAAAAACATTTTTTGTATTATCTGTTTTTTTCACGAACTGTTCAATCTTACAACGACGGAGATCAGGCTAATCACTCACCCAATTGTATCCATGATTCACTCGGGTTTCAAATCGAGGCCCACTTAACCGCACCAAGCCATCTTCTGTGTATATCTATGTATAGGAATTACAGAGGTCCTCGGGCCTATGTAATTCATGTGTGTACGTATATGCCAACAACATACCTGTGGTGTCGTGTAATAGAAACGTCCGCTGAAATATCGTCTACCCTATGTTTAATAAAATGAGAGACCTAGTCTATCATGTCGAAGACATGATGAATAGAGGTGGTAGAAAATATTAGGGACAGGTGACCAACAACCTCCTATGTGTATGTCGTGGGATAAAACCTTTGTGTTATCGATGTGTATGTAACGTATATTTGCGTGTTTTCCAAATGATACTCGGATGAAAGTTCGTGTCAATATTATCGGAACTCGAAATTAATAAAAGATATCTTAGAATTAAACACTTATTCATAACAATGATCCTAACCATACTTGTTATTCTATTTTTGATCTATTTTTTCAACATTAGTTCGGATTAGTTTTGTTTAAAACAATTAATCCCTTTGATAAATTTCGATAATGTAATAAGAAGACAAAGATTATCAGAACTATGTGATATATTAGCGCAATACATTTCGAACAATTTGATCATACATATACTTGTTAATAGCATTTATATATAAAAATAAAAGGTCAACTAGACTGAAAACGAGGTAAGAGAAGATAAGGATAATGATAAGAGTAATAATAATAATATGAACACATAGTTCTCATAATCTTCATCTTCTTATTACATTATCGAAATTAGTTTTATTTATTTTGAAATGTAGATAGATAGTGATTCATCTAAAAGATGCTATTTCCCCTATTTCTAAATGTTTTGAACTGTACATTAACATGAAGGTCATTGTGTGTGAAGTGTTCACATTCAGCTAATTAAACACATTTCGTTTCCATAGTATAATGGTTATAAATATTTACATATGAAAATAATGATAAATGTTCTATTCTTGTTTTATTGTTTATAGTTGATCAAAGAACTTAGACATTTATAAAACTTAATTTCAAAAAGGATGAACATAATTATAAATCACATTAATTCAACACATTTGATAAACGTTTTATCGATTAGAAACATATACATGGTAAACATTATAATTGTCAGATCAACATTATGTTCGTTAAATGAGACAGAATGACCGTAGTTACAGATTTAATGATTACAGTTTTATAAACTATGTGTCCGAAAATTTGTTTCAAATTTTCTGTTATTACTTTTTTTGTTTGTATACTTTATTATGAGTCATTTTTTAATGAAGGAATTCATGAATGGATTAGTTTTGCCAAATATTTTTCTTAGTTAGCTTAATTAAAATGTTAAAAATGTAACTACTTGCCATCATTGTGAAATGTGTTTCGAGATATAAGTTCTTCATACTAATAATGTCCATATGTGTATCTTTCAACAAAAATCAGTTTTCTGATTAGATTAGATAGGGAAATATTTGATACAATCCAGTTGTTTATAGATTCTTGATCAAACTACTACTGATAGAGTAAGAGAATTAAGGACAAGATAAATCTTTTCACTACCGTTTCTTTGTCCAACTACTCTTATTGGAGTATTTACAGGTACATTAAACATAAGTAAAAGCCTGAAACTTTCATGGACGCAGTGGAACTTGACAAAATGGTTTCATTGTATCCGAAATAATCAACAGTCAACATCCGGTTATCATGAATCAAATATTTTTCACCATATATTAGTTTTGAAGTAATCTTCCCAAAAAAACAGTCTAGAGTTTCTCCTCCCATACATACTAGGAACCTTTAAAGTTTACATTTAGTAATTCGATTTGAGAGCTGGACTTGACTGGGTCACAAGAAAAGAATTTCAACAGTTTTTTCGTTGTATGAAAACAGTACAAATCGATAAGCACAATATAAATAAATTATTTCAATTGCCATTGTTTACTAATCACTAACGATCAATTGAGTTGTAAAATAGCTGATAATCGTGAATGTAAACATCAATGAATAACTAAGTGTAAACATTTTGAGAAGCATTTAAATTAACTATCTAACCGAAAGACACGATTTCAAGTGAGTATTCAGATAATTATTTTTTTGTTCTAAGCTTTTTTGTTACACTCTTAACTAAAAACAAGACTATTTAAGGGTATTTTATTATGTAAGTGAAGTAACAAAACTAACTTTAGGAATCGAAGTTATATTGAAAGTAAATTACTGTATTTACTGGAAGTTTACTCAGTGATAATTAGTACAGTTTTAGAAATGGTGATAAATTTCTGTCAGTGAAATTTCAAGCAAGTATTTATCTTTAAGAAACAAGTACTGGATCTTGTTTATCTGATTTCAAGTTATTAATCAAAGTGAAAATAAAACGATAGGTGAAATCATGAGGAACAAAATAAAGAAATCAAGTACATCAGTGATTTTCTATTCAAAAATTACGTTAAAGTAAACAAGTAGGTAAAAATGATATTACTGTCCTAAAAGAAGAGTTAATAATAGTAAGATTGAATACTAACTATATTTATATTCCTTTCAGTTAAGAGTGTATTTACATGATTTTGATTTAGGAATTACTCAAAGACCATCAACATTTCTGTACTAAGAAGCTAATAAATTTAGATAGGCTTATAATAGAAGAGTTTTGATGCTAGGGAACTCTAACCGAAGGAAAATAAGTATCTTTAGTTAAAACATTATAACTTAAACAGTTATTAAGAAAAATGACAGGTTGTTTTCTAATATCCTAAGAAGGATATAAAATCAAAGATTACGAAAGCTTATAATCGTTTACATAACCTACCAGTATTTTCTGATAATTTTTATAGTGGTATGGTTCTCAGTCGTAACTATGTTGCATAAAAAATTTATCGAAGTTAGATATCCCGGTCCTTAGAATAGTCACTAATTTTAAGAGTCTAAAGGTCTACTTTTTATACAGTTGAATATCATGTTTAAAAACTGAGCTGCAGCTTTAAATTGGGAAAACAATCCAGGTTTTTCAATGATCGTCTGATTGATTGAACCAAGAGGCATAATCCTAGAAACTGTGATTATCTAGTTCAGACAAACATATTTCTATTTTTCAAAGTTGAATTATGAGGTCACCTCTGAAGAATACAGATAAAATTCTTTTGACATAAATTTTCACAAAATATAAAACTTACCGTCATATTACAGCATCTCCCGCAGCATGCTTTTCGGCTACTTTCAAAGTAGTGTTTTGCATTCCAACCGGAAGACAGAGCACATAGTAAGTAGGCTAACAGTGAAAATAATCCTATTGCTCCGACTAAACCATAAATAGCATAGTCCAAGTAAGGGAATCTACAAATAAGTAATAAGATCGTGAGATACACAGTAACTAATCCTTGGTATTTTGTAAATTAACATTGGTTAGTATACTTAGCCCATGGTTAGCAGTGGGGTCCAGGATGAACTCTTTTTCCTACTTCGGACTCATAAACTAGATGTATCTGGATGACAGTGTTAATTTTCACATATCTACTACCTATAACTTTAGACTGACCAAGACTCAGTCTTCAACATCAACGACGGGTTAATGCAAACGTTTACAAATCATTAATAGCAATGTTTAAATATATGAAAGTTATATAGTATGAGCAGAGTAGGTTATAAAAAAGTTTCCTGTGAGCAATAACAACTTGATTTAAGCCATCCGTACTGTATACTGATGTAATAATCTGATTGATCATTATTTATTATTTATGTTGGTATAAATTATCAGTCAAATTCATGACAAGTGGTTGAAATAGGTCAATTAAAAGAAATCTTTACTGAAGAAATGCTAGTCGTAACTTTTGTGAAGGTATAAATCACAAAACAATTTTGTTTAGATTTCATTTTAAAACTGTATTTAAAATTTATATCATAATGATTTGGAATGTACGAAGAGTGTACAGCCTTCGTTAGCCTTGATGTATATGCGTGTACTTGAACATTTCATCTTAAATTTGACAATAAACTAAAATCATTGAAACTATCATTGGAGCCTGTATATCAATCTTACTGATGTTAATTACTGAGTAACTGTAGTTATTATGCATACAAAACTTAAAAATGTTCAAAATTCTTAATTGCAGAAACCATGACCGATAATTTGACATTTGATTATGTATTCAACAGACTTGTGAGATATAATAATAGTTTGCTATCTATAGAAACCCTCTCCTTAAAATAATTATGCCTATAGATCCATTGATCAGTTAAAGTATATGGTGCAAAACCTTTTATTTGAGTCTTGAACAAACAAAGTAATTAGATGTAATTATTATTTATGTTTTAGGATGAAAATAGAAAAAAGGGAAGTGAAAATATAAGGATTGAATTTGCTTTAGAGAAGGAAGAATGCTATTTATAAATAATTCTGTGAGTGAATAAGTAGGCAATAAACAGTTTCTATAAGATTGTCGATAGATTCAGGAAAAGTCACAAAAATATGTACTAATTCATATCTTACTACTTGATGACCTGTTGGAACACGAAGTATTGATTTTGAATCAATCTAAAAGCGATTATTAGGTGAAGATATTCATATCTATTTAAAAGTAAATACATTTTTTAAAATATACGCTTTATATTTCCGACCAATCATGGGGAGCTGAAGAATGCTTGGTGCACTTTTAGGTGTGTACTAACAAAGATAAGGTATAGTTTTGTGTCCGAAATTTAAATGTCATATTCGAATGTTGTTGAAATGATGTATGCGAAAAAGATGCAAATAACTTTTCATAAATATCGGAGAACATAGTGAGGAAAGCGTGGATAGGCTTAAGTTATTCATTTTGAGTTGTACTATTGTTGACGCTATGTTATCGTTATACATATCGTGTATAAACACCTTTGAACTATATTCCATTTCCTAAAATAACATTGGAAAATATAAAAGTTTTCAACTTATATAAAAGCTTAACTACACAAATCAACTTTATTTTTTTAAAAATTAATAAATTTAATGCAACATACAGATAAATAAACGACTCACAGATTAGGAGCATTTAAAAGTGTAATTAAATAACGTCTCGCAAAAATGATTGCTCCACCAAAAGCGCCACCGCCCAATAATACAATAATGAAACCAACTAAAGATGCAATCGGTGAACTACGTAGACAACGTACACATGAATTATCGCCTATAAACACAAAGAAATCAAAGTAAATCACTCTATCTGATATATATATATATTTGAGCAGGAATGATCTAAGAATTAATAGACTAAATTACAGTTAAATTCGACTGAATTTGTTGTTCAGGCAGACATATATAGTTCATACTGTCTTACTATTATGGTATTTTGTTGGCAATACTCTTAATATTAAAATTTGTAAATCATATCAAAATAAGGGTGTAAGTATACGAGAAAGTAAGGTATAACTGAAAGTTATGATTGAATAACGAATTTTTATTATCTTTTAATTAGTGTCATATAAATTAAATTTTAATAAATAATTAATATTGAATCCTGAAATTATCAGTGTAAATCAATGTAATTATTTTGAGATTAAATCATAACCAATATCGATCATTCAATTATAATGATGTTCGACCAGTAGGGTATTCTATACACTGAATTATTAGTATAATGTATTTATTTAAATATGTTTGTTCATCTAAAAAAAAGCTACAATTTGATATAAACAAAAGTCTTGACAGATCACATAGGGATTATCTATAATATATAGTAATAATTATATGTATATTATTTTCACACACTTATATTTCGATTAAGGGTTAATGATCATAGGTTTTATCTTTATAATATTTGTTTCGGTTCATTGTTAGAAATTCTAACTTAAAGTTATAAAAAACAATAACGTTGAGGCATAAAGTTTCACAATAACGATTGTGAGTATGATTTAATCGATTTATTTAAAACAAAGTTTAATTCATTTCTGTTCTCTTGTAATTGTTAACATTTAAAGATGGGTACATAATAAATAATCTGGATTTCAATGGGATAAAAATAGAACGTTCAGTTTGATGAACTACTGGATAAAAGTTCAATGTTCAATTGAAAAAACTTGAATAAACTATAATATATTGAATTAGAAGAGAAAATTTAGAAATAAATAAATAAAAGATATACGACATAATTGTTTGCATTTAACTTCAATCGAAGTAAATTCTATTGTCACTGATAACTTATTATGAATACATTATTGCTTCTCTTTAAAACTACGCTTTGAAATAGTAGAAAAACAACTAAATCGAATCGAAAAATCAGTTCAGTTTTCATCAATCTTGTTTTGTTCACAATTACATAATTTAGTTAATTATATTTTTCATACTTATCTGTCACCTATAGAACTCAATTGTTAAATAAGTTTTGTTTAAAACAGACATGAACATTGATAATTATTTACTGAATATGAAGATTAAAACAATCGTTTGAAATGTGTTTACATAACTTTAATAGTTGAGATCATGAGTCAATTGAAGTTGGACCACCATGGAAAACCTAGAAGCACTGGACGGCTTTGTCCTATTGCGGGACTTTTCAGCAATGCGCATCCACGATCCCGCCCTCCGCGAGTTTCGAACACAGGACCTATCTGTCTTGCGCGTGAACGCCTAACCATTAGACCGGTGAGTCGGCATCCAATGGTATTAACGTCTGACTTCAACTAATCCGTGAAATTGAGCGACAAGTTCAGTGAGTTACTATCTGACAACAGACCCGGTTGAATTCCACTGGTCACGGTTCCTCACTAGAACTCCAGGAAATGCTTCTTGAAGCCAGTGACTAGTGAGCATATATTGATTAGTATCAGAAAAGTTTTTTTGGATATGATAGTAATTTCAATGATTTTTGAAAAGTAATGATTGTATATGTAAGCACATATTTTTCTCCACTACCACTGATATAGTAATTATAAATTAAGAGTGAACCGTTAATTTAACGATGGAGAAGTAATTTATCCATTTTCATTGTGTAATATTATCAGATCAAATTACCCAATAAACATACATTTCTAATACATCATAAGTACATTTAAAAACATATATGGAATTGACTAATATCTGATTCTTTTCTAAACATCAATTTCGTTTAAAAATTGACATAAACAATATGATTCTAGTTTGAGATTCCTTTTTTGAAAGGAAGGAAAACCACTTAATAGTTAACTAACTATCAATTATGAATCAGTGAGTGATTTATGATATAAGATTTATTAGAAATTATCAGAAAAAAGCAACATTTAACCAGTCTGAAACAATAATATACATAGTTATTATTAGGTCTGTTTATCATTAGAAGAAAACAAAAATGATTCCAGTTTAAATCATTTGAATTTACGTTTCTGAGGTATTGTGTTCACCTTTTCCTGGTTAATTTAATCACCATGTTTTTATTATTTCTATGAACAATGTATAGTATTTAGTCACATTGACTGATAGTATAATCGGGAGGCGAATGCATGCAATTGATGAGTTCAAGACGTAGACGATTGTTTTAGATTTTGTCATTCACACAAATGTCGTATCAGAAATGGAAGAAAAACAACAAAATTATTTGGAAAGAGAATTTAGGTTTTGAAGTGCTCAATGTAATTAGAGAAATGAAATTGAACTTATGTAAAATAAGTGTATACAAATCCCTTAGATTTTTGCATGTGCAATACCTGTGTCTACACATCACCTAGATAGATCGTTTCAACAGATTTATTTAAATATATTAGCAAAGTTTGTTAATGTTTTCCTATTTCGAAAAAGATATAATTTGTAAGCTATTATAAATTAAACATTTTACTTGCAAGTTATATATAGTGATTGAATTTGAGCATTTTTTTTACGAAGTAAACGTTTGGTAGGCTCTACTATTTTCTTATTCAGTCATTCTGGAGATTGTTCAATGAATCGAAAATAGTGATGACTACTTGTCATTCTAGCGTAGCTACTTTGTCAAACTATAGATAAACAATAAAGTAATTACACTCGACCGTTTATCCAATCCTAACTGATTTCTTATGAAGTTTTCTGTACTTCTAAAGTGTACTCTTATGTAACTCAAACATGAATGACTAGGATTATATTCAAAAGATGAGCACGTGTTTTGTCCTCTTCTCATCTGACACCTGTATAGCGAGCATTTTAGTATTAGTACATCTTTATCGTTCGTTCTTTTATACTAACAATATAAATACTATTTATCGGTGCAAAATAAACACCGTCTTGATATAATCAAAAATGTAAGTCTTGTTTTCTCGAATTTCTATCGAACTCATTTATGACTTAATAGTTGACCAGTCAATCAAATAGGCCGGTTAATTATCAAGGCGATGTTCACTATAGCTATAATTTTAGAATCAGCCGGTACTTTGATTTTATAATTTTATCTCAGTTCCGCTATCTGAGCAACATTATTTTAGTAGGAAAGAATGTATTTCTAAGATACAACAAAATTCATCTGCATTCCACACTTAATGTTATGAAATATAGACATAAATCATTGTGTCTACAAAAAAATATGACAAGTAGAACGTTTAAGAATAATGTATCTAGAGTTCAACCGTTGCAATTACTCCTGCCTTATTTAATAAATATATCAGTCTTGATTAATTTGGAAATAATGTTTGAGATAAGACATGTAAACAAATAAACTTCATAGTATCCTGACAGTGATTCTTCTATAATGAAACATCTTTCACATTTTCCTATTTGAAAACTTTCATTTATTATGAAGCTATAACATTCCAGGTCTAATGATAGTCCTAAGCCCAGATAGAAGAGGGGTTTGAACATATGATCAAAACTCCATTCCGTAGAACACGACTTTACTAAAACACACTAACCAGAAAAAAAACCAAGTTAAACCATTTAAACTCTGTACTGAGAGTTGAAGGCTCTTCATTTAGAAGAGTTATGACGAGATTCTTTGTAAATCACGAGGTAGATGCTCCTTTTAGGAATGTCCGAACAATGTAGGAAACTAGGAGGACCAATCAAGCAGCTGCAGAAATGCTGAGAGATAACTTGGGGGAACAAACCATTTTCCAGCTGTAGAGAAAATTAAAAAAAGACACTGGGAGTGGATAGGACATGTATTGAGAAAATCATCAACCTGCATCAAGAGGTGACCCCAAACCTAGAATCCTGAAGGTAAAAGGTGAAGTGGAAGACCTAAGGACACGCTGATTTGGAAATTCGAGAGAGACATCAAAAGAATGAGTAACAGCTGGAAAGGAGAGCCGAGAACAATATTGGTCGGAGAATCCTGGTCGGCGACCTATGTTCTACGAGGGGTAACAAACGTTAGAAGTAGTGTTATTATTTGTAGCAATAGCAGTGAAATTATACTTACGTATCACACAAATTAAAAAAGTATTGTTTTGGGTGACTGAATTATCTAGTTTTCGAATAAACCCAATAAACCTGGCTTCGATAATCAGGTTGATATTAAGGTTATTTATTAGTAAAAATCGATTGACTTCCCCATTTCTTGGCGATTAGTTTATATTCGCGTTCGGAAAAATCAGTTTATTAAAGATTTTATAACGTCGAGGTCAAAATGAAAGGTCAGCTAAATTTATATTGCAAGGAAAGAAAATATAAGTCATTCAAGGTTAATAAAGTGAAACAATATATACTTTAAACCCTATTATGAGGTTTAAGGTTGTTAGAAAACGCTTAATACTATTGATAAATAATATGAGTATTTGGTTTAGTGAGTGAAAGGGTCGACATATGACCTATATTCATCATTTGCTATCTTACAAATAACTCTTGGTCATGCTTAGCTGAATATTCCGCACACGAACAGTAGGTTTATTTTTGTGACATGAATTTACTTAGTGCATCAATGACTCGGTTCACAAAAATTTGGTTGAGGACTTTGCCGATGAGCAGAAATGTTCGACCACCAGTCTTCTCCTTATTTTATCAAAACAAAAGTTCTGTTCTGATAGTATATTACTAGATCCCAAACTTATCTGACTGTTGTTGGTTCAAACATTCCTGATCTGGAACACAACTATGAGAACATGCTATTTTTAGAGTCTTATTCATGGAAGTGCTTTGAAGCGACTAACTTCAAGCCATTTAGACACTTATCATCATTTATTAGGTATTTGGTTTTTGAAAGTGGACTACTGTTCGGTAGATCAAAATGATTCCGAATTATTCCACATTTATTTACAGAATATATAGATCTAAGGGAAAAAGGAAATCTCTATAAGAGATCAAAAAGTAGCATAGGAAACGATGTTGAAATTAGGTCGATTTTAGTTTATAACACACAGATTCTTCAAACGTTTAGTATTCATGAAGAGAGAGAGAGAAAGTAAAGTTTTTTCAAATTATTTAAATTAGAGTCATTTATATAGAAGAATTGATAACAGGATTCATTATTTTATATTTTCAATACAAATTTTTGTGATTTGAATAAAACTGTAAATTTCCAAAAGATACTACTCATGAGTAATTGCTATAACTATGCAAGAATGATTCGTACGCACAATAATAATAATAATAATATTTTGGCATTACACAACTATTTATAAACATTATACGAATTAGTATACTGATATTCAATTACTTTTCAAAAAATTCCTACATATGCCATGATTAGACTAAATTGCACTTGTAATTTCCAATTGTATATAACAATTCTAAACCTCTTACCAGGGTAAATGAATGTTTGTTTATGAATAGTGAATATAAATTATATTATATGTCTGATAGTCAACGCATTTTTGAAGTGAAACTATACTACAGATTTTAAATTATAAAAAACTTCATTCTATGATTATGAAAATCCATGAATAGAAGTTATATATATATATATATATATATATATATATATATTGATGTTATGTAACTCAGTGTTTTGTTTAGTATTAAGTAAAAGAACCCTAATATGGAGACGTAATCATGTTGGTCTTGAACCAATGTATAAGAATCCGACACAATCTTCAAACTTAAGTGTCTCTTGGTTTGAAGTGATCATCTTTTGGATTGATTGTTTGATTCAAATATGAAGTCGTAAAGGTAAACAATTCATTACAAAGAGTGCAATTACCGATTTATACATTGACTTACGTCACAACGCTTATATAAAAAGGTATTGTGTTGTAAAGGTCAGAACATCTAAATATTGGGTCATTCCGTGGAGCAATGTTACTTCCATCAACAGTGATAGCTGAAAAATTTGATAGAATAAAAGTTCAATTCTATTGACCTGATTTTTTAGAGGCAATTATCTCATTAAGTTGATTCTAATGAACCAATAAATCAAATTTACTTTCTAGATAGACATTACAAAAGAGAGTTGTCAGACATTGTGATTGGTAGTAACCTATCGTTTATGTATTCAAGTGTCATATTAATTACATTAAGATAATGTTGGAAGTATCTTGATAACTTTAAAAAAAGAATGAGACTCTTGAACACCATGGGTTCAACCGATTCGATGGACTCCATACATAAATCCGGAACGGTTAATGTTGTAAATGAAATAAGAGTTTATATGATCAGAAAGACCTTTAGGAAGTACCAAAGGAAATTTCAAATTATTGTGACGGAATATACAATCTGGTTTAAAGAGATTGTAGGGGGTGGCGAATTGAGAAGATTGTATAAAAAATGCTAAGTATCTGCTAACAGTTGTCATCCCATAATTATATATATGATATTGGTCATATATTTTGATCACTTTAGTAGTTGTGAAATAGGCATGTCTTATCGTAAATGGTGAAAGCCTAATCTTAGATTTACAAAAATGATTTTATCAACAGCGTTTAACATGTGAATGGTATTGCACAATCAAAAGATATAAATATGAATGCGTTCATTTATAAAGATTATCAATTGATGTCACTTGAAAAGTGGTTTGCAGTACATCAAATAGATGAGAAAGGAGTAAGATAAGCAAAAAAGCTATTAAAATAGGTTACATAATAATTGTAAAGTTGTTTGAAAGAATTTAACTAAATTGAAAATAATCACCTCAATACGTTTACACAATGATGTTTGTGAAGTAAATCAAATCATGTAGAAGTAAAAATGAGGACCATAATGTCAGTGACAAATTGAAAATTTTTTTCCTTTTTTTCTATGGTGAGTTGGGCTCAACAGCTGCTTGACTAGATAAACTCAAGTATTTATAAATAGCTGTCTACGCAAGATACTCAACATCCATTGGCCGGATACCATCAGCAGTAACCTTCTGTGGGAGAGAACAAACCAAATTCCAGCTGAAGAAGAAATTAGGAAAAGACGATGGAAATGGATAGGACATACATTACGCAAATCGTCAAACTGCATCACGAGGCAAGCCCTAACTTGGAATCCTGAAGGGAAGCGAAAAAGACGAAGGCCAAAGAACACATTGCGTCGGATAATAGAAACATATATGAAAACGATGAAATACAACTGGACGGAGCTAGAAAGGATTGCCCAGGACAGGGTTGGATGTAGAATGCTGGTGAGCGGCCTATGCTCCTTCACGAGGAGTAACAGGCGTAAGTAAGTTATCACGTGATTTATTGACCAGTCGAAATACGACTTATTCAATCTTAGTACTGTGCCAAACCAATGACGTTCGAGCAACATGAGCAGCTTAGCATCCTTATTGGTCCTTTGTTCTCCTAGTCCTTCCAGTTGAGTCCAGAATGCCGATAACTGCTTCCATTATACGAATCATCTATTTCAAACATACTTTGTTTATATACCAACCAAACAGACCGCATCAAACCATAAAATAGGAAATAACATTTATACATAATCAAGCCAACAAGTGACTGTAAGCATGGAAGATTATAATCAATAAACTGAGTATCGTTCAGAATAGTAAATCGTATCATAACAGCTTATAGATCAAAATAAGGCTTGTAATAAGAGAAGTATAAATATACATAATCTAGTTGCTGAGTAGTTATACCATATATATATATGCTTGAATATCTGGGCTACCTATTCCTCCGATCTACATATTTCATCAAGTTATCTGTTTTGTTGTTTGTTTTAGCACATCATTATGTCTATTGTGCTCACAATCTATTCAGGCGCGTTTATGAAAAGTTTACAACCTTTCGCTATACGGGATACAAAAAGGTACAATCAGCGACATCATGGTGGCCGGCAATATGCATTGAAACGAATGAATATTAATCAAACATGGACTACCGAACTCCTCACACCTAACTGGTCATCATTCAAAATTTATCGTCACAATTGATCAAGGTATAAAAAAAGGAAACTTGTTGAAATACTTTATGCTGAGAATTCTATGTTGTATCAAAAATATAATGTTGAATAAAGCTTCTAATATATATATATATATATATATATATATATATATATATATATATATATATATATATATATATATATATATATATATATATAATATTAGTCCATTAATATATCTCAGAAGTTACCCATAATTCAATCTTCACTAGGATATAACAAATCTATTATTTATAAATATTTGAATTGATAATTCCGCCAACAGCAATTTTAGCAATTCAAACATTATTCTTGTGTTAAATTCAATTAAGTGTAACAGTATGAAAATTTATCATTTCCATATGATTAATAGCCTGAACTAAAACGCAAAACAAAACATTAGTCCTAAATGACAGTTGAAATGTAAAACTGTGTATATTCTCATCTTCAAAACAACAGAAATTTAATTTGTTTTAACGATTTAAACTACAATTTAATCAGCATGTTTGATTTAAATACGTATATGTTTTTCAATAAATAGGTTTGAATGAATGTCACATTTTTTGATAATTTGCAAATATTTGTATCGGACAACTGTTCCCTTCAAAATTAAAAAAAAATTCTGGGAAGCTGTTTATTGGGGTCAAGTATTGTAATACAAATTTTAAACTTATGTAAAATTATCAGAAGAGGTTTTGTGGAGATTTTAGTAACTTCAATAGTTGAAATCACGAGTCAATTGAAGTTAGACCATCATGGAAAACCTAGAAGCACTAGAAGGCCGTTTCGTCCTAGTATGGATCTCCTCAACAGTTCGTGAAATCGTTGCTTTAAAAGAAAAACAATAATCCATAATTAAAAAACTATATTATATATACGTCTACGTTTACGTATGTATTATAATTTATTGACTTGTCAGTGTAGAAACTAAATAGATTCTTATCAAAAATAGATATGAAAAATAAACGATTCGCTTCAAAAGATTGGGTTTTATTTACTAAAAATTGCATTTTATGTAATCAGTTAAGATTAACATGGAACTCATACGAACAAAATAGCAGTTTGATAGATTGTTTGTGGTATATCACGATGAGAATTATGAATATTAACTTATGAGAACTATTAATGGGCAAATACGATACATATATTTTTATTGTTTAATTGATATGTAACTAAGCTGTGCATGATCATGTTCATCTCATTGTAAGCTTTATTTTGACCCATAGACTATTATTATACGATCTAGCATTCTTGAGTTATGCCCAGTCTATTATTTACAGTCTCTCACATGTACAGCCACTTTGGCTAGATCTTGTACAAACGTTATTTTCTATTTTATGGTGTGATGTGGTATGTTTGGTTTATATATAAACCTAGTATGTTTGAAATACATAATTCATATCGCAGAGGTTGAGATTGATGTTCTGGATTCAACAGGGCTAGAAAGAAGGAAGGACCGATAATGATTCTAGACTGCTCGTACGGGTTTACGCGTCATTCGTCAGGTCGATAAGTCACTGTTCTCTAATTGGCAGTATCATTACGTTATATATAGATAGGACACAAGTTATAACAGTTGACCCATTAATGCACTCTACCTACATTTACAAAAACCGTTTTTTATTTACGTCTAGATAGCATTTTGAAGACATAGTTTCAGATGGATCAAAATTTTGTTTGTGACGATCTACTTTCATTGTTAATATATTAGAATTTCTTATCACAGAACATGCAGTCTTCAGTTCTTCACCTAGCACTGATGGAAACAATTCTGCGTTGAGTAGTGATTAATTTTGAGATCAGTCTTAAAAAGACAGGTTTGACCTATAAAGCCAATCAGGTGGATATTGAGACAAAGACTCACCGAACATCGTTGGATCGGGATAACATCATATCACAAACTAACTAAAGCTAGCAAAAAGAACTGTTAGATGTTCACTCATTTATCGAATTGTACTAAATCTAAAGTTTCTAAGTTCGATTTAACATAGATGTTGTCAACGTGCGTTGTTAAAATGTTTAAAACTAGACAAAATAGCTATTAAATACTTCTTGATTTATAATGATTTTCCATTTGTAACTAGTTTGTAATAAAAACCATCTGAGTAATCCAGTTGTTCGAATTCGTTTAAATAATGATTGTTATTTCTACAATTTTAACTTAAAATTATCAGTAGAAGATGTTCATTAGGACTAATACAAAAGAGTTTGTTAATGTTTTGCCATAACTATCCAGATATTTTTTTTTCTTCAGAAATTCCGAAGATCCTTTATAGTTTTAATTTATTGAACTTAAATTGAACGGTTTTATACAAATCTAGTTATTCTAATGAAAACAAAGGTGATGAGTCAGCAGTTAACAAATGAGTTAAATTAAATGAAAAAAAATGGGTGGTCAATGGATATTATTTTAATTTCGATGATGATTGACATCATAGACAGAAGTAGCTTGGAGAACCATTAAAAAATAAAGAATACTAGACGACTGTCCCTTCGACTCAGGAATTTGAAAGTAAATTGTAAATCACTAGATATTAAAATTTTGGGATCTATATCATAAGTGCACATAACTGAAGGGCCCCTAAAATAAAATAATTGTTATTATCTTTAAATAGTTGTTCTTACTGCCTTTGAGTCAACTGTATGAAAGTTCAAATCAGTCCTTTACAAAATATTGAATAAAATTTATAAGAAAACATAAGCTTGTTTTCATAGATTAAACATAAATCTATCTGAATTAAAATTTCTTTTCCTGAGGGAACCTGATATCTTGTTCAGTATTTAAAAAATTAGAGATTTCACAATTTACACAATTATATCAAGTGAAGTTAATTATTATTTAGAAAGACAAACAACCTATTTTCGAAATTTATGTCTATATTGGATTAATTATGACTAACGGAAAAAATAGAAGATTTGTTTCAGCGTCTGTAATCTACCAATATTTCAAAAATCCTACGTCACTGTGATGTTACCTATAAGCTGACACTAATTCGAATAAGAGTAGACTGTAGAATACACAATAATGTGAATTACTTATTGAAAGTGTATATGCTTTGATTTCAAAAAGGAATGTATAACGGAATTGAATACGTCAAATACAAGAATGGATTTTTGAATACATTTATTTTGTACACTCATTGATCTGGACAGACAATTAGATGAACGAAGCGAAATAACGCGTGGTGGAGATGGCGGATGAGTCAAATCGATTTAATCAAGCGTTAATCAATCTTTATAGTCACACGAAAATAAGCTACAGACATATGATGAGTAGAATAAGATGTACACACACATACCCTCATGTAAAAACAGTCAAGATTGATAAGTGAATAATTATCAAGGTCAAAACGTGACTGAAAAAGAATAAATAAATTAGCCTGTCCAGAATGTAGGATAAGTTATATGGGATTGATATAATAGCTGACATCACAGTATGCTCTTTTGAGTGTCTGAGTATGAGATATGACGAGATAATGTTTATCTAGTGATTGTTAGATAACAGTATATATATATATATATATATATATATATATATATATATATATATATATATATATATATATATATATATATATCACGGTGACTGATTTGTGAACAATTCTGTTGTAGTTTACAATAAAATAAAACATACTAATGTAGGAGTTGTGGAGATTATTAAGTTTTTGATTAAGAACATGAACCAATTGATGTTAGACCATCACAATTGAAAACCTGGAATCACTGGACGGCCGTTTCGTCCTATTGTGGGACTCCTCAGCAGTCGGATGCCGGCTCAGTGGTCCAGTTGGTTAAGCGTTCGCGCGCGAGACCGAAGGCCCTGGGTTCGAATCCCGCTCGCGGGATCGTGGATGCGCACTGCTGAGGAGTCCCACAATAGGACGAAACGGCCGTCCAGTGCTTCCAGGTTTTCAATTGTGATGGTCTAACATCAATTGGTTCATGTTTTCAATCAAACACATACTAATATTTATATCTTTAAAAATTCATTTTAATGAAGAGAAAGTTTTCATTTATTATAAAATCTATCTTATTCACTATCTATCTAATGAATATAAAATAACAGATATAGTTTATACATTGAAAATTTATCATTTATTTTAGTTTTTGATTTAAACACAAACAAACAAAATTAACATTTCTCACCTTCATAATATTCAGACATTATGATATTATCCTCAATTAATTAAATTAGATAAATGAAATTTCAATGATTTAATAAATTATTTATTTGAATAAATAATATAATCCAACTGTAGACTTTCAATGGAATAAATTATTATTATTACTCTTTTTTCTCTCTTTTTTTGTTGCTGAGACAACTTGATTATAATTTTTGTTTGTTTATTTGTTTGTTTTACTATTGTCAACTATCTAATTTAATGGGCTTTTATAAAATATTAAGGATTATTTCGATTTCCCAATCAAAAAATAATAATAAATTTTCTGTGTATAAATTATCCAATCATAATAAAATATCCATTCCTACTATAATAAGCATCTTATTCAAATGGAGAAAATAGACTATATCAACTGACATTATAATTAAAATACTTTGAATGAACAACAACAAAAATAGTAGGACAGACATATACACATGAATTGATGTAAAGCGCGCGCGAGGGGGGGGGAAATTGAATTGAATATGGGAATCATTAGATAATCGATTAAATCTCGATAATGCCTGACCGAGTAATTTATTTTAAATATTTTTTTTACAAACCAATCTGACCAATAAACACAAATCGAATAATATTGGATACTTTATGAATGAGATAAACAAAGAGAGAGAGAGAAAACTATTTTTGTAAAACTAAAATTGACTAGTCAACATTCAAAATTTGTAAAATATTTCTGTTAAGGTTGTCAAGGTAATTACTCATTATTTATTGATTGATTGATGATTGGGAGAATATAGTCATTCAAATGATTTTAATAAGTAGGACACACAAAAAAACACATTAGGATATCAAATTCGTAATATTATGTCGTACAGTTTTAATGTTTTATGGTTATTTTAACTAATAGATATGATATGTATCCAAACAAATCAGTGATCTGGATTCTGGTAAAAGATATATATATATATATATATATATATATATATATATATATATATATATATATATATATATATATATACTTATGCCTGTTTCCCCAAATGGAGCATAGGCCGCCGACCATCATTCTCCAACCCACTTTGTCCTGGACCTTCCTTTCTATTTCTGTTCAATTGTTGTTCGTTCTTCTCATGTCTGTCTCCATTTCTCAGCGTAATGTGTTCTTTCGTCTCCCTCTTTTCCTTTGGCCTTGAGGATTCCATGTGAGGGCTTGTCTTGTGACGCAGTTGGATGCTTTCCTCAATGTGTATGCTATCCACTTTCAGCGCTTCTTCATGATTTCTCCCTCCGCTGGGATCTGGTTTGTTCTCTTCATAGTAAGTTGTTGCTGATAGTGTCTGGCCAACGGATCCGAAGTATTTTACGTAGACAACTGTTAATAAACACCTCTATTTTCTGGATGATGGCTTTCGTAGTTCTCCAGGTTTCTGCCCCATACAGTAAAACTGTCTTGACATTTGTATTGAAAATCCTGACCTTGGTGTTGGTTGATTGTGCTCTTCCTATGATGTACATTCTTATACCCTTATTGTTAACCTTGTGATTTTAATTGATCTACAACGTAGTTTAAATATATATGTCTCAAAATTTATAAATTCTTACAAACGTATTTTAAGAAGGCTTTTGTTATTGTTAGACATTGTCTGGAGAGAATCAAAAAGCACTAGGAGTCTGTTTCTTTTCAGGTTAAAACTACCAAGTAATATATACTAAAGAAATGCAACAGAATGAATAATCTTGACGTTTTACGATGAAGACTATACCTTTAGATTACAACTTTTAGAATTTGATGAACAGGTATTTCCGAATTCAGACAACTAGTGATTAAAAGCATGGATTATTCAACGTCTAAATTGATAACTAACTCACTCCTGAGATTACTTTGTCCTGAATAGTCACGATTTTACATTTGATCTTAAAGAATCTCATCTCAAACCTAACTATCAGTCTTCTAATGATCATAGTTTTCAGTCCATAAATACGTAAAGCAATTGTAAGCGGAAATTTACTTTCATTAAGTGAAAATTAACTGTAAATCTATGAGTTTATTATGTATTTTCTAAATAGAACGGAAATCATGTTATATAATTAATAGTAATTTCTTATGGGATAAATTACTACGAAAATGATATGCATGATAATAGACTGTATGTTCAATTCATGTTTATGTAATACAAGAAATGACAATGGTTAAATTATTTGCTATTTATAGTTATAACAAAATCTATTGTTGCTTTCAAAAAAAAATTCTGTTAATAGATCTATTTATTGCACTGTACGTGGCAGACAGAAATTCAGTATTGTAAGAAATATTATAATATTGCAGAGATAATCCACCGTAAATATATGTGAATATATGTTTTCATGTATACTTGATCTGATCAAAGATGATATAGGGAAAATATGAGGAGTTGCAAACCATCATTAGTTGGTTTTTGTTTGAAAAAAATGATTATTATGATTGAGGATGTTTATTTCTTTAATACTCATTGTTTTATAAATTGACTTGTAATCGTAGTGTATATGTGTATTTATTTATTTAGTCCGCTTACCTTCAACTGTTCAGATAATTTACTGATAAATTTATCATTAATATCAGATCTAGTTTTTTTATCAAATAGAAGAAGGCTGTGGATATTCAAGACTCGACAATGCTGTTGATCACAAGCCCAATCAAACGAGAAGTCAGAAACGAAGGTGTTTGAATATTTATTTGGAAGATAGTCAGTGTATCGAGGTGTGTGATTTAATCTGATTTTTTGTTTAGAGTGACGCGTAGCACGGCGTACTCTATGGTGATCTGTTGTGGATGCTTGACCAAGTGTCTTCAGTGAAACCAATGAGATCAGCATCAATGTCGAAGTCTTGCAGAACTATTTATTTTGGGGATTTATTTACTGATAAAAACAAAAGAGTTAAAACAGTACTTTAACTAAACGGGTAAACAATAACACATAGAATATCGTTGCACAACAAATAGTACTAGTAATATTTACATTCGTCAATTTTCTTTTTCTGTATACTGAGTTTAAATAATAATAATTCATTAAATCATTTATATTGTCTTCATCTATTTTTACAAAGACTATTTGTACAACAAGTGCTAGTGTTGGTATGAAGCAGATTTTTATTAGGATTTATAAAACGTGACCAAATATGATTGTACAAATGTCTATGAGTACATTTCAGTATAGATTTTCAGAAAAATAAGGTAAGTATATGATATAAACGGTATACTTTAAAATGTTTTTGATCAGAGTTATTGGTTTATAAAAATAAAATGATCAATCTATTAAAACGAATACTCTTTTGAGTGTTGCTAACCAATTAAAATCATTCCTTAGTCATACTAAAAATGTTTTTAGCAAAAAAGTAGGACAGAAAAACGTATATCAATAATTGATGATATATATAGACAGGAGTTGGATCTGAATAATGTACAAAGTCTAATTAATGTTTGCTTTCAGAATGATTAAAAACAGTTAATCGGTGAGGTTTTTACATTTGTACTTATGCAGCTATGTGATAAATCCATATATTGTAGAGAGATCGCTCACCACAAAGCGATATCCACTGAGACTTACTTGGAGGATCATAGGTCGTCCATTAGCATTCTTCTCTCAACTCTGTTCTGGGAAAACTTTCCAGTTTTTTCCAGCTGCTATTCATTCTCCTGATGTCTGCTTCCAATGCCCGGCACAATATGTCCCTTGATCTTCCTCTTTTTCGTTTCTCTTGAGCATTCTAAGTTAGCGCTAGCTTCGTGATGAAGTTTGATGATTTTCGTAATGTATGTTAGATCCACCTCCAATGTCTTTTTAATTTCCTTTACACATGGAAGTTGATATGTTCTCTCGACGGTAGGCTGTTGCTGACGGTATCCGGTCAATAGATATTGAGTATCGTGTGTAGACAATTGTTTATAAATAACTACACTTTTTGACGATGGATGTAGTAGTTCTTCAAGTTTCAGCTCCGTACATTATAAATCTCTTGGTGTTCGTATTAAAGATTCTGACTTTGGTATTGAATGATGGTGGCTTTGAGTTTCATATGTTCATCAACTATAGGATTGCTGTCCTTGCTTTGCCAGTCCATGCCTCTACATCTACATCTGATCCACCTTGTTCATCGATGATGCTATCCAGATATGTGAAATATATCACCTATTACAAAGTCTCTTTATCAGGTGTGATTAGGTTGGTGTTCTCCGTATTGTATTCGAGGATCTTGTTTCTTCCTTTGTGTATGTTGAGGCCTACTGATGCAGAAGCTGCTGGTACACTGTTTGTTTTGACCTCCATCTTTTGATGTGTATGAGATAGAAAGGCCAGGTCATCTGTGACGTCCATATCGTTTAGTTGCATCCAAGCTGTCCATTGCATTGTATGTCGAGGTCCTAATAATCCAGTCAACCACCAGAAGAAAGATGAAAGGGGAAAGGGGAAAGTAAGCAGTCTTGTCTGAGTCTGATCTTCACTTGGAATGTTTCTGTCAGTTGTCCTCTTTGCAAAAATTTGCAGTGTCGTCCATCGTATGAATTTCAGATGATGCTCTTGATCTTCTCAGCTAGCCACACCATAGTATCAAAGAAGGTTCCACAAGGTTCTCCTATCCACTCTATCATATGCTTTCTCATAATCAAAGAAACTGATGTACAGTGATGAATTCTATTCAACTGATTGTCCAACGATGATCCATAGTGTTGCGATTTAGAGTAGTTTTTAATTCTAGTTACATAAGTATTGGAGGCAAGCTTATCGTACAATTCTTGACTAATTAAGCAATTTAGTATGGCATTAAGACTTTTTTTCAAAGTTTTAAGAACTAAGCACAGCGTCAACAAAATACACTGAAAGTGAAATTATATTTATACAACTCTCACTGATTACAAATAAAATATTTTCAATGTTTCACTAGACAGTCTATGCTATATGAACTAATTCAAAGAAACAATCAACTGATCTAACTAAATACTGATATTGTACCATACTTTGAGTTGAATCGTAATGATCATAGTCTCATAAATCCATTAGTAATATAGTAGA